AGTTGTTTGTTATCTGTGGCTGGGGAGGGGGGGGGGGGGGGGGTCGGGCCACGGAAAAAAATCAAAAAGAAGGTCTCTTACACTCAAGGAGAAAGCACTAACAAATTAAAACAAGCTTTCTCATTTAGACACAGAATGTCTAATTTTCCTAGGAAACAAGAGTGAAAGTACTTTTTATTAAATGCACCGCTATTGTTTTTTTATGTTTTTGAAAAATCCACTAAAAATTTTGTTTTTGGAGAACATCAATGAATCTCTTTAAAAGCTAGAGAAAAATTTGTTCGTTCTACATATTTTTCTTATATTAGTTCTATAGAAAACTCTCTGAATGGTACGCAACAAAAATTTTCGTAGGGGAAGAGTAAATACAGCAAGGCAGAATTAGAACGGGAAGGTCATCCAGTTTTCTGTCCTTTTTAATTCTATAGCATGGATCAACTCACGATTACACAAAGACTTTACTTATGATTTCTTAACCTAGATTTTCATTGGAAAAGAGGAAAACAAAAATTTCGAATTATTCTAGTGTTGTGAAAAATAATACAATCACTATATTTTCAAAATTTCTCAATGTAAGACTGATAGGTACTTTAAATTCAAATAGTGATTTGGATTGCCCTTGAAATTCTCTATCGAACACACTATGTGATAGAATTACAAAAGATATTGTCAAGAGACGTTTCCAGGAAAAACGTTTTAGAGAAATTTCAAATCTTACAAGATTTTGACAAAATCATTTTTGAATGTGGTCATAAGAAAGAACTGAACATTTTTCGGAAAATAAGAGTCGTCCAACTCTCTACGATGTTTGTTTTCAAAATTATAAGTTAAAGAAAGATTCGAGCAATTGTATAATTTATCAAACAATCTCTAAACAATAGACTAAAACACATTTTTACGATTTTTTTTTAGTGCTTTTAACTTTGCAACGAAACATCTTGAAGAGATGAGCGATCCCTCATATTGTTCAGAATTTTTAGCTCTTTCTCATGGCTACATTGAAAAATGTTTTTGTCGAAATCTTCTAAGACTTGAAATTTCGCTAAAACAGTTTTCTGGAAACGTCTCTTGACAATATCTTTTATAATTCTATCACATAGTGTGTTTGCTAGAGAATTTAAAGGACTTTCCAAATCACTATTTGAATTTAAAGTACCTATCCGTTTTACATTGAGAAATTTTGAAAATATAGTGATTCTATTATTTTTCACAACACGGTATTCGCCATATAATTTACAAAAATAAAGAGAGCATTTTTTTTTATATAACTCACACGATATTGGCCAGAAGAGTACTCCAATACCATCACTTTCCGTCTGTAAATTTTGAATTACGCTTCTAAATTGTTCATAGAATATTTCTTGGTCAGATAACATGACGAATGATATCATTAGTGATACTGAGTTCGATAAATCTATTTGTTGCTTAGCTGCATTAATCATTTCTTCTGCAAGAATTCTTTCATGATGACATGAATCGGGAACGGCAAATGCAATTGATTGTATGGTCGAATTTGAATTTTGATTTCCAATAAGACAATATTGAATTGATCTCGAAATAAATGTTCGTATTGATTTACGAAAACTAGGTTCATTTGTCACTATTTCGGGCAGTGACCAATTTACGAATAAGATTCTTTTACAACCTAGTTTTCCAGCAGTTGTTTCAGTCATCAAAGGAATTGAATTATTGCCAATATTCTCTGATTCTTTTCGAATTAGTAATATTTCTTCAGCTCTTTCAATCAGGTTGTCTTTCAATCCATATGAAACTGATGGAATAACAATCACATCAACCTAAAGTACATAGTTTACTTTTTTTTCTTAATCAAACATGTCGTAATATATTTGTTAATCCAAGGCAAAAACATGACCTATACTGATAATGAATACAACGGAAGTGGCAAATTATATTAGCATTTTTTGACTGGCAACTTTTCTAATAGTAAATTCGAACAGAAAGTTTGGTTTTGAGACTATGGAACAGAAAATTTAGTGTATATTTTATTCATGATCTCTTTGCTCAAAGGTCATCAAATATCCTTTTGCAGCATTGAAACTATTGAATTCAACAAAAAAAGCATTATTTGCTCAGCACTTGGCTACAATGCAATGCCATTTTATCTGTTAAATAATTTGACGTAAGCTATTCAAATATCTCACGAAAAACTGCAGAAACTTATTTGTTTTGAAGTCAGAAAACCAAATTTTTGGATTAATTTTTTACAGTTCATACAAAGTATATATAATTGTCTGTTTTTGGCGCACTAACATTGCAAGGAAAACGTTGTTAATCTAGTCATTCCGTTAGAAAAGTAATCTAATCTTCGGGAGAAAAGCATCTGGTTAAATAAAAAGCATCATTTCTACAATGCCAATATATGAGAAAAATTTCCAGAAAAAAAAATCCAAATTCATCAAACTCAATACACCATAAGATATACAAAAACTTCTATATCTCTTAATGCACGAAAGGGATTTCGAAGCTCATTCCAACTAGATAAAAATCGAACTTTTTACTTTTCTGATTTGTTAATTGAGCCTATCATGTTTTCATGCATCCGATGTATTCGATGGTCCAAAAAAGTGGGATATACTTATTTTTTTGAAAAAGGTACGTACACATCATTAAAATCTGCTAGAAATTTTTTATCAATCAACACGAACTTATAACATTTTTAGTTGATTCTGATTTGAGATAAAATCATATAAAAAGCATTAAGTATTAGTTTCAAATTTTTTTAAATATTTTTCTTGTTGCATGAAAGGAAAAAAAAATATTTTTTTTGCTTTTATTGAATTGAATGACATAAAAGCTACGCGCTTTCAAGGTAAAATTTCGATTGAATACTTCGTTTCGTAGCTGATAAAAGTTACGAATTCTCAACATGATTGATTCAGATGAATGCATCAGCAGATCTTTGCCATTGAATAGCATATGAAACAATTAGTCAGTAGAAGTGATGATTTTAAAGAGCAAAAGTTAGTAATCAAGATTTTGTAGAAATAACAATTCAAATTGAATATAAACCTTCTTCGATGATATAGATCATTTTTAGTCGGAAAATATTTAATGAAGCTAGATCGATTCACCTATCTATGATTGTTTATAACTGAATTCCTGTACGATAATTTTCTAGAATATTTTAATCTTTATTTTTATAATCTTTCATGGATACTCACTCTTAAGAAAGTTTTTGTTTTAAAATTCTGAAATAGTGAAATCATTTTAGAAATATTTGTTTAACTTTCTTCCGACATGATATAAATTAATACTTCCTAAACACTGCTGGGTGTAAACCGATGAGACGATCTACAGTCAGAGAGGTGAGTTGGTGTAGGTGTGAGCATCTTAGTGGTTGTTATCTTTAACTAAATCCATATCGCATCCATCATTTTGCTCGACTTTGTTAGGTATAAGGAAAAATATCTGTGCTGATGAATTACTCCTTTTATTACTCTATTTTCCTAATAATTACTGAATAAGATTAAAATACATGGACTTTTCTCTTTCATTTATGACTTTTTCATAATATATTTCTCTCTAAAATTTTAATATTGGTTTGCAAACATTCGAGGAGAACTAAACGCTAATTCGACAGCACATTACTGTATTATTAAGGCACAAATTCATTCAAGTATCCTTTTCATGTAAGCACCTATGTTCTTATCTTCATCGTTGTTAGAAATGAAATAGGTCTTATAGGTCGGTTATGTTTTCTCTCACTACAAATTATTGTTGACTAACCTTTTGGACACCAATATCTCGCATCATAATTCCAATTGATCCATGTTTCAATTTGACTTCTTGAGAAACGACATCTGACTCAACGAATGATTTCGATCGCTCCATGATATATTTTGATACTGGATAGTTTGTAAGAGCCGTTTCTTTTATTTTCGGTATTGTACATGCTTTCAACTGGGTGTGTATTTCTGCGTGAAGTTCACAGCGATTATGTCGAGCAATGTTTTTTAAACAGATAATTGTTTTTTCCGCGAGATCAAAATGAATTTCTGTACTGTTGATTGTCGTCTGTTTTTTATTCGACAACAGAACTTTTATAGTTGATTCAATTTCATTTTTCAAGTATTCTGGCGCATAAAAAAAGCCTTGTCGTATGCGTAAATCGACGTTCTTGTTTGCGAATCTTTTTTCTATGGCTGTCAGTTCTGGCCAATAGATATTGACAAGAAACTCAATCTAAATATAGAATTTGTAAATAATAACTGGTGCCCCATAATAAATGGCTGGATTTTGCGTTTCGTATTTTATTCTCTAATGATGTTTTATTAAAAGAAGGAATATATCACAAGACCCAACGTAAAAAACTCTACATTCTACAAAGTAAAGCTTATTTTAGTTTTGTCCTTTTTTATCTTCATAGCAAGCGAAATTCTGCCCCACCAATTTTCGGCGTTGCGCTAAATATTTGCATAGAATTTTGCTTTTCTTAAAGAAAAAGTACGCACTTAAAATAAGTTTCAGTTTGGAAATTTTAGAGCTTTTCACACTGCATCTTTTGTTATATTTTGCTTTTTTTAACGAAAAATGTGTCAGGTGATAAAACAATTAAATAAACAGATGGGAATTATCTTTTCAGCTCGACGAAAATAGATCGCACAGAATTTCGCTTGTCCTGAAAACAAAAACACAAAATTAAAATAGAATTTTCTTTACAAATCGTAGAGCTTTCACGCTGCGTCTTGTGGTATATTTCATCTTTTAATAAAATACCATTATAGATTAAAATACGAAACGTAAAGTCCGACCATTTATTATGGGACACCCGTTATTATTCATCTTTCTGTTAGAAAAGTACTTTGAAAAAGTATTGATCTATCAATAGGAATGAAAAACTAAGCAAAGGTCACAATGAAATAAGTATTATATTTTATACAGAACCTATATTCATATTTATCGGTAGAAACTGTTTGATACCAAATATAATCCTTATTCAAAAGATGGAACTTTTAAATCTCTCTACAAAAGGAAAAATGAATCAACGAGCTACAAGATAATGATCTTAGTTTAATCAATTGTTTCGAGTCGAAAATTGTGAGAACGCTAATACTTGGCTGATAGTAAGTTGAAGCTCTATCAAAGTATGAAATTAATCATACTTTTCCAAAAGAAAACTCGGTACTCTATTTAAATTTAATTGAAGCTGATTTAGAAAATATCTGCAACATTGGTAGCATTACATTAGAAGATATATCGAACCCATTGAAACAGGAAACTATTATATCTGATAAGCTCTATCGACTCCTTCAATAGACATTAACCATTCTCTCCAGTCGCGTTGCGCCGCTTTGGATATAACTATAGAAGAAGCTGATCGATTTCTAGCGAAAATTCTCCATCAAAATCGGCAAGTAAGATATTTCGATGGTCGGTGTGGATTTATTGGTGTTTGTAGAAAAATGCATAGACCCATGTGCACACTCAATTTTGATGCTGGTGATATTGGTGACGTATAGTCATTACTGACTATCGATAAAAAAAAATTTCAACTGATCTAGTTCTCGTATAAACTGGTATTTCAAGTGATTTACTTTTGCCCAATATTATAACGCACAATGCATTTTTTTAAGCTAAAATAACTTGTATTTTTTTAAATCCTTCTCTTTTTTTATGAAGATTGAATTCATTATACCTTAAGAAAACTATTCGCGTTCGAAATAAATAGCTCTCAACTATATAGTTGACTGTTTTTTTTCACTAGTAATGGTTCTCATGTACGAAACTAATCACTCAGTTAATTCTTATTAAATTGGCAAGTGCATATTGTTTCTATCAGATAGTTCAGTTCGATGTTTAACAGAAGGTAAGTAAATATGATTTATTCTTACGCGTTTTAAAAGTCGATGACAGCTTGAAGATCCCCCCCCCCCCTTCAAAAAAGTCACTTTTCGTGGCAACGTCCGAAATTGAGATAAAAGCATGGGGAAATAGCCCATTATCCACCTTTCATAACCGATAAAAATTTTTACTCATCATCTCTTTCTTTCCCAAAAGTTTTGAAGATTTTCGTCATCCTCCATTCGAAAAATAGACCGGTTTTTCAAAAATCCCAAAAATCATTTTTCCTTTTTCCGGAATGTAGGTTTGGTGAGGTATCTCCACCATAACTCAATCACAGTGAGAGATAAAGTCAATTACTTTCTTTTGTTTGAAAGCTTGTGCCTAGAGCTAGCGACGATGGTCACCCTTTTTTAAAATAAGTTGTTTTTATCATATAAATGAACATCTTTATAAAACCAGTGCCATTTTTTAGGGTTTTTTAAGTCATTGAACTTGTGATCCCATTTTTTCTTCAGTAAGTAAGAATTTAAAAAAAAAGGGCGACCATCGTCGTTAGCCCTAGACACAAGCTTTCAAACAAAAAAAAATTAAATGCATACAATGAAGGCCTACAGAGAAATCGTGGAGATACTGATGAGCTGTTTTTGACTCTTGTTTAGTGAATATTCCTGTCAAACGTCATGATACAGGGCTGAAAATTTTACTATAGCTATCGTTTACTAGTCCCAACATATCCTAAAAGTTTCATGTAATTTGACTGTT